CGGAGAGCACCTACCGGGTCCATTTGTGCGTCACGGGAGTGTTCCGGCGTCCGGACCTGAGGCGGCGGGCGCCGCAGTACCAGCGGAGACTGCTTTGCTCGGTGGAGCGCAAGAACGGCTGACAACCGGCGGCCCTGAGCGTGTCGTAGCAAGGCGGGCGACGACACTCCTGATGGGGTGCAGCACCCGCTGTACACCCAACAGTGGAACGCCGCCCTGATTCGCGATGATCCTGCAGACTACGTTGTGGAGCATCTGGCCGACGCAGACAGTGTGCTGGTAATGGACGAAACCGACTTTCTGAAGAAGGGCAACAAGTCCATGGAGCGCAGCGCCAGAACATCGGCACAGCCGGGCGAGTCGAGAACTGCCAAGCAAGTGGGGTATTGCTGGCCTACGCCTGCTGTAGAGGCCGGGCTTTAAACGGCGGTGCTAAAGTGTCCCTCGCGAGCGAGTAATCGCTGACTGAGATGATATGTCTGTGCCATCCCGGCTCGGGTCTGACCCTGGGGATGACCGGCCGAAGTGCCTTCAAAATGATCTGTCGATCCCGGCCTCGAGATGGCCCATTGGGTGTCAACGGCTTTGGTGAGCAGTGTCCTCATAGCAACTGTCTTTAGTGTCAAGAGGAAAGAGTTGCGAATGTCGAACCCTTATCTCCCCAGGATGCGCCATGCTTGAGCATAGCGTTCAGGATGACGAGCAGTTTGCGCATACACGCGACCAGAGCCAACTTCTTCGGTTTGCCAGCCGCCAGCAACTTCTGGTAGAAGTCCCGGATCACGGGGTTCCAGCGGGTCGCGGTCAGTGCCCCCATGTAAAGGACGCCCCGCACTCGGGAGCGACCGCCCCAGACGGCGCGTTTGCCCCGCAGAGTGCCGCTGTCCCGGTTGAAGGGAGCCACGCCCACCAGGGCGGCGATCTGCCGGCGGTCCAGCGTGCCCAACTCCGGCAGGTAGGCCAGCAAAGTGAGGGAGACCTGTTCTCCCACGCCGGGAACGGTGCGCAGCAGGTCATCCTTCTCACGCCACACCGGACTCCGGAGAAGAGTCTGCCGCAGCCCTTCGTCGAGGTCCTTCAATTCCTGTTCCAGCCAGGCGATGTGCGCCTCTATACGAGGACGCACGGCGCTGATGGCGGTTCCCAGCCGGTTCTTCTCAGACACCAACATGGTCATCACCTGGTGCCTGCGGGCCACCAGCGAGTTGAGCACCTGGGTCTCAGCGTCTCTGAGAGGGCGCACGGAGGGACGAACGGCGTCGGCAAAGTGGGCCAGGACCGCCGCGTCCAAGGCATCGGTCTTGGCCAGCGTCCCGGTGGCCCTGGCGAAATCTCGAACTTGGCGGGGGTTGACCACGACCACCGGCAGTGCCGCAGCGGCCAAGGCGGCCACCAGCGGCAGTTCCAGTCCGCCAGAAGCCTCCAGCAACACCAGGGCGGGATCCAAGTCCACCATCTGGACGACGAGTTCTTTGACCCCGGTTTCGTCGTAGGAGACGACCCATCTCTGTCCCGTAGGCCGGACGGCGACATCAACCTGGGCCTTTGAGACATCAATGCCCACGTATCTCGCTCTCCTTCCATCTCTACCTCCTGTTTGAGCGTCGGCCCGGCCTTGCAAGATGCGGGCTTGGTTGGCCCAGGCAACCGTTCGGGCTCTACTCCGGTACGGGTGCGGCGACCCTCGCTATAGAACGGTCTTCCATGACCAAGGAGCCACCGGTCTGCCGCACCCCGGTCCACCTGAGTGAAGTGATTGTCACACGCCAAAACCAAGATACAAGGAGCGTGGCCTCCAGCCCCATCGCAGTCTTGACCGCTCGCCTGGCCGACGCGCTACTCCTTCAGGAGGCAGAAATGACAGCAGTCGTCGGTCGCGAAGTCATGTGCGCTGTTCAGGTGGTCATCGGTGTAGACACTCACCAGGACCAGCATGTGGCCGTTGCCATTGACCAGCAGGGCGTGCGTCTCGCCGAGCGACACGCGCCAGCGACCAGCTACGGGTATGAGGCGCTCGAACGGTGGTCCCGGGAACCTGGGAGAAGTTCTCGCCTTAACCCGAATCCACCGAAGGACACCGATGGATGGCGTGAGGACAGCGGCAGGGTGGGTGAGGGAGCTACAGGGGAGATGGCTGGGCTCCATTGGGGTAGATTGGAGGTCGGCGGACGGTCTTCAGTCGCCGCATAGGGCCCCTATGGCCCTCCGCGGGAGCTGCGATGCGCGGGATGGCGAGAGAATACGCAGCAGGGAACTCTCGCGGACCGGGGTGGCACGAGTTTGCGGGGAAGGTGGGGCAGTTGCAGGCTGGCAGTCAGGCCAACCTCACCCTGGTGGCGGGCAAAATCAGGCTGTCGGGCAGTACCGCCGGTGGCGCGGAATGCTACAGCGTCGTCCTCAATGTTGTCGCCGATGCTGCGGTCAAATTGGGCGCTGTCTGGCTCGGTCAGCTATGGTCCCTGATTTTGCTCGCCTCGGCTTTAATGCCGAAATCCCCCTACCCAACCAGGGCTTTCCGATCCGATCTCTAAGGAATCCAGGCTCTCCAGACTGCCTCGTTGGCATCAACCCACTGTTGCGCGGCCTTGCGTACGGTCAGGTCGTTTTCGGTAAGGTTGAGGACGATCTCGTTCTGCTGATCGTTGGTCATCTGGAATCTGGAGAGGAACTCGTATGCCTCAGGAAACTCGTCCTTGAGACCCGGCCAAGCCAGCTTGGCAACGACGTCGGATGGGAAACCGCAGTTGTAATCACTTCCGCCGGGATAGCAGTCGGAAGTCCACTCGGGCATCTCGATCTGAACCAGGTTGTACTTGGCGTGCGCCCAGTGGGGCTCCCAGAGGTATGTGAGGACGGGTTCACCCCTTTGGAAGGCGGCGTCAACTTGAGCCAGGCCTGCGCCCTCGGACCCGGCGAACACCACCTGGTAGTCGGCGCCGAAGGCCTCCAGCCGCTCCTCGGGCTTCGTGTCCCACGCCGCAGTGAACTCGAGTAGTCTACCCTGGGCGCCGGTGTCGCTGGTGGCGAAGACGGACTTGTACTGGTTCAGGTCGCTAACAGAGCGGAGGTCGGGCGCAACGGCGTCGATGCCGCGCTCGGAGTCGCCATTGATAACATAGGAAGGAACGTACCAGCCCGTCTCACCCGTGATGCCCACTGGCCCCATGCGCTCAACCTTGGCGTCCTCGGCGTTCACGTATTCATCGAGTAGGGCGGCGCTGTAGGAGGGCCAGTTGCAGCAGGCGAAATGGAAGTCGCCCCTTTCGAGGCCGATGAAGAGCGGAGCCGAGTCGGCGGGCGCGAACTTGGTCGCGACAGTGTGGTCCATCTCCTGCTCCAACAGGATCTGTGCCACAGCCGTCGTGACGAGCTGGCCGTTCCAGTCCTGGTCGACGAGATACAGAGTGCCCCTGGTATCCGACTCATCGGCGCCTCCGCCACAGGCCAATCCCACTGCAAGGACCATGATGAGCGCCGCAATAAACGAGAGACCAATCCACCTATTCTTCACTGTTTTCATTTTCCTTTTCCTTTCTGGGCTGGAAGTGCGTTCGACAAACCTGACAGATCGCCGCATGCGCTATCTTTTCATGGGCATCCCCCTATGCGGCCCGCGAGCTTTGGGCCGGATTCTCGCTACCTCAACGCGCCAAAGGGAATTGCGGGGCCGCGTTTGCCTTGGGTCATGCGGTCGAGCACCATCGCCATAAAGACGATGGCCATTCCTGCAATCAGGCCATGGCCCATCCTGAGCCAGATGGAGTTTATGAAGACTTCCTGTCCCAGGCCGCCGCCGCCCACAAGTCCGGCGATGATAACCATGGCCAACACCATGATAATGGTCTGGTTGACGCCCATCATTATCGTTGGGAAGGCCAGGGGTATCTTGACCTGGAGCATGGTTTGAAGGGCCGTCGAGCCGTGGGACTGGGCCGTTTCGATCACTTGGGACGGTACTTCCTTGATACCCAGGCTGGTCATGCGGATCACCGGAGGCAGCGCGTACACTGAGGTGGCTATGATGCCGACCAGCGGCCCAACACCCCAGAGCATTATGACCGGGATCAGGTAAACAAAGATCGGCATGGTCTGCATGGTGTCCAGGATAGGCCGCAGGGCCAACTCGAAGGCTCTGCTCTGGGAGGCGAGGACGCCCAGCGAGACACCCACGACCACGGTGAATACCCCAGCGGTCAGGACTTGGCTCAGGGTATCCATGGTCACGTCCCAAACCCCACCGGCGCCGGCAAAGGCCAGCCCTACCAGCGCGAGAAGCGCCACGCGCCAGCCCGCAGTGAATTGGGCCAACCCTGCCGCAATGACCATCGAGGCCGGCCAGGGGAGCCAGAGAAGCAGCGTGTGAATGGGTGAGTAACCAAGCTGCCGGAACAGAATGTCTCGTACCCAACTTGTGATGAAGTGCAGGTTGACAGCCATCCAATCGAAGACCCTGTTCACGGGCCCCGCCATTGAGAAGGTCAATGCGTCCGGAAAGTCTCTCAGGGGCCCGATCAGGGCCCCAAGGATCAGTAGGAAGGCCGTTACAACCACGCCCGCGATGGGAAGAGCGTGGCGGGTGGCCATGTTCCGAAGGCTTTGGCCGGCCGCCTCCACGGCCTGCGGACTGATGGGCGGTAGGGATGCAGAGGAGTTGGGGATCCGACTTCACGAGGGCGTAGCTAAACCTGTCCAGCATGATGGCCAGGAGCACGATGGCGATGCCGCTCTCCAGACCCTCCCCAGCGTTCACCTCCCTCAACGAGAGCCATACGTCCCTGCCGAGTCCCTCCACTCCCACCAGCGCGGTTATGATCACCATGGAAACTGCCATCATTATGGTCTGGTTGATGCCCATCATGATCGAACTCTTTGCCAATGGCAGTTGCACCTGAAACAGCGTTTGGGACGTGGTCGATCCGTGCGAGTGAGCCGTCTCCATGACTCCCTGGGGGACCTGGCGGATCCCCAGGTTGGTGAGTCTGATGACGGGCGGGATGGAGTAGACCACCGTAAGGAATACCCCCTGGGTGCCGCTCACTCCGAAGAGGACCAGGGCGGGAATGAGGTACACAAAGGCGGGCAGGACCTGCATGGTGTCGAGAATCGGGACGGACGCCCCGCTCGAAGCGATTGCTGAAGGCAGCGCATATGCCGATCGGTACACCAAGTCCTACGGCGATGATCACTGAAACTCCCACTATGCTCAAAGTGAGCATGGCGGAGTCCCAGAACCCGATGGAGCCGATGAACAGGGTTGCCGCACCGCAGAGCAGCCCCAGCCACCTCCCGCCGAGCCTGAACCCCAACAACGATGCCGCCGCCGCCACAAAAGGCCAGGGGAGCCAAAGCAGGAACGTGTCTATCCCAGCGAGGCCCGTGTCTATGACCTTGGAGATTGGGTTGAAGAACCAAGCAAAGGTGTCGGCCGTCCACTCAAAGATGTCGTCGATCGGCTTCTGAATGGGAAGCTCCCAGCTCTTGGGCCAGTCTCCGAATTCGGTGCCCGCATTGGTGGTCGCCAGTGAATAGGCCAAGAGGTACGTCGCGGCGGCCACTGCCGCCCACAGAATACCCCTGTACCTGGGTTCCCGGAGAAAGCGGATCTGGAGAGCCTCCGCGCGGTTCACGTCGCTACACCTTCATCGCTCACCAAGGCAGCCATTGCCGCCTCGGGTCTGATGGTGCCGATGCATCGACCGTTTTCTAAGATAGCGATAGGGCCATCGCCGGAGATGGCGAGGGGAATGAGGTGTTCGAGGCGGGTACCCGGCTCCGCGACGGGGCAGGAGTCCCGCATGACGGAGGCGACACTGGAGTGCGCCCCACCACTATTGGACACATCCGCCAAATGCGCGAATCCGATGAAGCGACCTTGCTCGTCGACTACCACCGCGCTTTCACATTCTTGCGCGGCCAACTTATTCTCTAAGTCGGCTAGTCCCTCATCTGCGGTGACGTGGACTCGGGGCGGGGTCATAACAGAACGTGCGGTCAGCACCTTGGACCTGGGCACGTCCCGCGTAAAGTCCCGCACATAGTCGTTGACTGGGTTGGAGACCAACTCCTCCGGCGATCCGATCTGAACGAACTCGCCGTCTTTCATTATGGCCACTCGATCCCCGACCTTTAGAGCCTCGAGGAAATCGTGAGTTATGAAGACCATCGTCTTCCGGACCATTTGTTGGAGCCCAATCAACTGGTCCTGCATCTCTCGCCGGATGAGGGGATCAAGGGCGCTGAACGGCTCGTCGAAGAGGAGGATCTCCGGGTCGACAGCGAGTGCACGGGCTAGCCCAACCCGCTGCTGCATTCCGCCACTCAGCTCATGCGGGTATCGTTCCTCCCATCCCGACAGTCCCACCAGCTCAATGACCTCGGCCGCGCGCCTGCGTTGGGTGGTCTTATCAATGCCCTGGACCTGGAGACCGTAGACCACGTTATCCAAAACCCGTTTGTGGGGAAAGTTGCCGAAGTGCTGGAACACCATGCCCATTTTGTGGCGGCGAATGTCCCGCAACTGATGCTTGCTCATCGCGAGCAGGTCCTCGCCGTCTATGTGAACTTGCCCGCGCGTCGGTTCGACGAGACGGCCGAGACAACGGACCAGTGTTGACTTGCCGCTACCGGAAAGGCCCATGATGACGAAGGTCTCTCCTTCGCGCACATGGAACGACACATCCCTGACGGCGAGTACGCAGCCTGTTTGGGCCAAAACCTCTTCCCTCGATAGGGCGGGGTCAACGGAGTCAACAAGGTCCGGGCCGCCGTCCCCAAACACCTTCCACAAGTTTCGGCACACAAGCCTTGTGCCCGCCTCTACGCCGGATTGACGGGTCGGTCCAGAATGATTTGCGGCGTCGTATTCTCTTGACATGTGTTGTTGTCCAGCGAAAATGTCCGCCCAACTGGTCTGCGATAATGTCCGTTTAGGCGGGTGTCCCCGTCTCAGGTTGTGGTGGCGTCGCTGCGCTCTTGATCTTTCTCAGTGGCGGGCTTTCGGCCAGGGCGTACTTGCGGACGGTGTTTCTGTGGATGCCCAGCTCGCGGGCGGTCGCCCTGAAGGAGAGTCCCTTGAGCTTGGCCTGCTGCACATTCTCCCACAGAGTCCTCTGGCGAGCAGTGGGTATTTGCCCTTCGGAAGTAGCGTTGTCGCAGTCGGTAGTCAACAGTTGGCAGACGGGGCCCGTTCTGTCCCCTGGGTTACGTCGGGCAGTCAGAGGACCGGTTGTGCGAACCGGAAAATCACTTTCCCTAAGACCCTTTACGATGTGAGAGTCTATGCCATCATCAGGGTCTTTTAATTGTAGGAGGGGACGTTTGGGGTGTTGGATAATTGGGTGAGAGTTTACGGGAGTGTGGAGGAAGGTTGTGTGGGAGGAGAGTGTTGGTGATTGGGGTCCCGGACTGCTGGATGCCCTGGGCCAGATAGAGGATCCCAGGAAGCCCAAGGGAGTGAGGCATCCCTTGCCGGTGCTGCTGGCCATGTCGGTGTGCGCCATGCTGAGCGGGGCCAGGAGCCTTTACGCCATCGCCCAGTGGGGCCGGGAACATCCCCAGTTGGCCCAGTCATTGGGGTTCATCCGGGAGCAGACCCCCTGCGTGGCCACCTTGCATCACGTATTTCGCCGCTTGGACCCGGACGCTTTCGAGACGGCCTTGGGACGCTGGGCCCAGGAGTGCCTGGGAGAGGGCGAGGCCACCATAGCCATAGACGGCAAGGCCCTGCGGGGAGATACACGGCAGGAAACTGCCGGGGGTGAGGCTGGTGGCGGCCTACGGTGGGGAGAGCGGCCTGGTACTGGGACAAAGGGTGGGGCAGGGGTGGTGGCAAGGAGAGTGAACTGGGGATGGCCTTCGGTCTGCTGGCCCAACTGGAGTTGAGGGGTAAGGTGGTTACCGGAGACGCCCTCTACGCCCAGCGGGAGTTGAGCCTGAGGGTGCTGGAGCAGGGAGGGGACTATTTCTGGACGCTGAAGGACAACCAGCCTGGTATGAGCCTGGTATGAGCCTGGTTTGAGCTTGGTATGAAAGAGGCGGTGAGCCTGCTCTTTGAGCAACCGCCCTGGGGAGAGAGCTTTGCCTACACGTGCCAGGAGGGCCGTCGTGGAGACCGGTGGGAAAGACGGCGTCTGTGGGCATCGGCGGCCCTGAACGACTATTTGGGTTGGCCGGGGCTGGGACAGGTCTGTTGCGTGGAACGAACCAGGAGGCACAAGGGCAGGGATACGGTGGAGCGGGCCTACGCCATCACCAGCCTGCCGCCGGAACGGGCGGATGCCGCCCGGCTGCTGGAGATCTGGCGGGGCCACTGGGGAATAGAAAACCGGCTGCATTGGGTGCGGACGTGGTCTTTGGCGAAGACCGGAGCCAGGTGCGAACGGGTCTGCGCCGCAACTGCTGGCGGCGCTGCGGAACCTGGTAATAGGCATGTTGAGGCTGGGCGGAGTCAAAAACATATCGGCGGCCCTGCGCCATTACGGCTGGAAGGCTTGGGAGACCCTGTTGCTAATCGGCCTACCACGACACAATTAAAAGACCCTGCCACGGTGCCGGCTCGAATTTAAGTGCACCATGATTGATGATACTATTGCGAAGCTAAAATCAGGCGAGCCCATAAACGGCAAAGGCTGAGTTGATAATTTGCAGAGGCGGACCGACCTGGAATCCCCCGCAGGCGCGGTAGTCCCACCAAAGTCCAGAGGTCTGGCGGCGCGACTCCCCTTCCACTACAGCTGGGTCGTCATAGCCATCCTCGCCACAGTCCAGATTTTCGCCAGTTCCATCAGCATGGCTGCCGGCATCATGGTGCCGCCGCTGTCCGACCCCGAAGGCGCCTTTGGGTGGAATAAAAGCCTCGTTGGCCTGGGCATCGCCGCCTATTACGGATTCGGAGCAATCTACGCGCCCTTCACCGGCTGGCTGGGCGACCGCTTCGGCTCGCGCATCATGCTCGCGGCGGCGGCTGTGATGTATCTGATCAGTATGATTCTACTGAGCCAAATCAGGGAGGTTTGGCACTTCTTCCTGTTCTTTGGCGTGCTTCTCTCGCTGACCCAATCGCTGGGGATGGTGCCGCTCATGGCCTCGGTGACCGGCTGGTTCCGCCGCCGCCTGGGGTTGGGCATCGGGATCCTGTGGGCCGCGGGTGGCATCGGCACTGCGGCCTTCGCCCCCCTTGCCGGTTTTCTCATCGAGACCCTGGATTGGCAGAATACTTTCCTCATCATCGGCCTGATTGGCGGCATCGCCATGCTCTGCCTGGTGCCGCTGATGCGCAACCGACCTTCCGACTTGGGCATCGAGCCCTACGGGACCCGGCCCGGAGACGCGACAACCGCGCGCCTTGGAAAGGGGCTGGAGCAGTTGCGCATTAAGGTCTTCAACCAGCACATCCGCCGCACCAAGCCCTTCTGGAACCTCCCCCTGATTCACGGCTTGGGCTGCGCCGGACACGGCATCATCATAATATACGTCGCACTGCTCGCCCTGGAACGGGAAGTATTCTCCAGCCTGCTTTCGGCAGGGTTTATCCTGGCCATCATATCCCTGGTGAGCATCATCTCCCGGTTTGTCACTCCCGTGCTGGCCGAAATCTACGGCACCCGTCGCATGATGGCCTTGAGCCTTAGCATCCAAGGTCTCACCGTGCTCATCCTGTTCTGGGCGCAGGATGCATGGGTCTTCTATCTGTTCGCGGTCACCTTCGGGATAGGCTTCGGCGGCGAGTGGACCGGTTATCTGATTATCAACCGTCAGTATTTCGGCGACGGGCCGATGGGCACAGTCTACGGCTGGCAGACCACCGGGGCGCTGTCGGGCCATTTCGTCGCCACCGCCCTGGCCGGCCTGGTGCTTTACGCCACAGGCTCCTACAACGCCATCCTCATCCTGTCCATGGCCTTCAGCCTTGGCGGCGTGGTGGTAATCGCGCTGCTTGACAGCAACTCCCATGTGCTCATACCCGACTGGGAGAGCGAACTCCCTGACGAGGCGCAGTTGAAGCCGGCTTTACCCAGGTCGGCCTCGCCCCCGCCCTTAGCCGCGGCGCCCACCCCCGCTGGAGGGGACGGCGACGGCTGACGCTGACTGCTGGCCAGACACGAAAGATGAAGGGAGGGATGCGCCTTGTTTGCGTCCCTCCCTTCACCTTGTCTCGGCCGTGCCCTTGCCCGTTGGGCGACTACTCCCCCTGCAGGAACTCGCGCACGAAGGTCGTGGCCGGTTCCTTGTCGTAGAGGCCATTGAGCAGCACGACGTTGCGGTAAACGTCTCCCTGGAAAAGCGCTCGTAGGGGATCTGCCGTGAGCCGAAGGCACTGCAGCAGGTATCCCAGGCCAACCGGAACAGGCGCACCCGGTCCTCGGCCGAAGCGGTGTCGGTGCGCATTGCCTCACCAGAGAATGTTACCGAAATTCCAGACCTTATTTCCCACCCCAACCAAGACCAATTCCACCCTCTTGCTCCGCTCCGATGCAGGTTCAGCAGATGCGCCGTAGACCAGCCTCTTGGCCATGACGCCACGCCAGTCCCTCACCCTGCGCGCATGACCGAAACCCCCTGCCTTGAGCTGTCGTTGTAATATTGGGGAAATGCCCAGAAAAGTCCCGGTCAAATGCGCCATTCCCGGCTGCCACCGCCGGATCAAGATGACCCTCGCCGAACGCGAAGGACTGAGGCAGGAGGGACGCGAGAACAACGCCACGGCGGGCCTCGTCTGCCCCGCCCACGTGAAGGCCGCCTTCAACTTCGAATTCGCCGATATCGACATCGATGTCCCGCTGGGGGAACTCCTGGTCGAGGTATCCAAGGAAAATCCCCGTTGGCGCGTGATGTTGACCCCGCTGCCTGGGGCGTCGGGTGAGCCGGACAGCCAGTCCACGCCAGGGCGGGGAGACAGGATCATCTAGTTCACCCGCGCCGGCGGTGAACTCCCGGGAGAACTCTGGCGTGTTCCGGAGAAGCTCGGGGGATGGCCAGCTTCTCTCTCCCACTGCTGGGCCGTGGTCGTGCTGATCAGATTGCCGTCGGCTGGTCCCATCTGAATCCTTACCAGTCAGCCATTCCCCGGACGGGCCGCCCGTCGCTGTGAGCGATTCGCGGACGGAACACGCGGGCGGGACGCGCCGGCCACCCGCACGGACCGGCGGCAGTTTCACGCGGCCAGGTCCACCGGTGTCCATTTGTCGCCCCATTGACGCCAGGCGTGGCGCGGCTCCCCGCCCAGGATGAGGATGTCGTCCGGCCGGCCGGCGCCCAGCATCCGCTGGGCCACGTCCATAGGGAACTCGCTCACGGGCTTGACCTCGGCGTAGGCTTCGACGCCGTTCAGCACGAGCCGGAAGTCGGGGGTCCAACCGCTCAGCCGGACCGGCTCGTACTGCCAGGCAATCCCGCGCTGGTCGAAGTATGCCGCCCACCGGACCTCCAGCTGGCTCCGGAAGGTCGTATCGGCGTACTCGGTGATGGCGGGGGTGTTCTCCGGGCCCAGGGTGTGGGGGGCAATGCCGGTGGCCCACCGGTGCAGCGCCCCAGTGGTACATGATGTCGGCGCCCTTGACACCAGGTGCCGGGCGAGGGTGGCCGGCAGGAGCAGGCCGGCATTCGCCACCAGGCGGTGGTCATCAAAGACGATGCGGATCCGGTCGGGATTGTTCTGTGGCAGCATCCATTGGGTGCTCCTTGTTTCCAGGCGGTTTTCTGTTCCAAAACCATCATCCCGGATTCAGAGGAGCACCTTTTTGCCCTTTTCAGGAGGCCTCTCGCACGCCCTCGTTCGGTGGATCGGGGCTTAAGGAGCTTACTAGCCACCGAAGTCCTGTCGTTGTGCGATATACCGGAGCCGTGCACTGTTCCTTTATAAAGCCGGTTTGCTCCTTTGGGCGGCTGTCGCGGCACCTCGGGGTTCCGAACTCACGAGTCCGGGACGATCGGCCGCGGGGAAAGACTTTGCCATACGGTAGCCAATACCGTGCTCGGTGAAGATGTACGAAGGATTCCGCGCATTGTCTCCAAGCTTCTGGCGAAGGGACTTTATGTAGGAGCGCAAAAGCTGGGGGTCCCCCGAGTATTCCGGTCCCCAAACCCTCTGAAGCAACACGTCCTGTATGAGAACCTTGCCTGCGGAATTGGAGAGCTCGGTGAGCAGCTCTGTACTCCGTCGCCGTCAGTTGCACCGGTTGACCTGTTACGTAGACGATTCGCTCATCGTAATTGATCAGCACCTCACCCAATTGAAACGTCTTGCTGTCGGTAAATGATCCGTTGGCGGTCAACCTTCGAAGGGTCGCTTTTATCCTTGCGATCAGTTCGGAAGGCGAGAAGGGTTTTACCATATAGCCGTCCGCCCCCATTTCGAAAGCGCGCACGACATATTCCTCATCGTCCCTGTCACAGAGCACAATGGCCGGAAGGTTCAGCGAATTCCCGGCACGCCGCAATGTGCGAAAGCATTCTTCTTCTCTGCCAGCAATGTCCAAGAGGATCAGTTTCGCCTTTAGCGACGACGCAAGTTGCTCAACCTCGTCCAAGCTGGATGTTGCTAGAGCGCTGTAGCCCGCGTTAACCAGGACTTTGCGAACCGTGGCCAGCAATTTGGGGTCTTTAATTGAGACGAGGATCTGAGTCTGCTCCGCGGGAACCGGCAATGGCCCTCCGGCAATCTCCCGTATTTCGGGGATCTGAATGTCGTCCTCTTCTCCCACTGTCAAGAGAGTGAAGGTCAGTGTCAGGTTGCCCTCCTGTTCATCCACAACCGTCCTGATGCGGCCTCCGTGCGCCTCAACAACGCCGCGGCAGAAGGCAAGCGCCAGCCCCTCGCCCTGTGACGACAATTCAAATGCTTTGTTGTGGGCCTGTGAAAGTTTCTTGAATAGCGGAGGAGTTTCCAATGTATTGAGCGGCGAAGAGGTTTTGTCCGGAGGAGCAAATGAGCCATCCACTGAGACCCAGACGGCGACGTAGATATCTACCATAGAAGCAGATACCTTGACCGGCGACGACTCGTTCGAGTGTTTGGCCGCCCGGCGGATGAAATTGTGCAATACCTGGCTTATACGGTGCCTGTCAGCCATCACTTTCGGAAGCCCCTCCGGGATATCCAATCGGATGGCTATCGCGGCATGGTCTCTCAGATACTCTCCGCAGGACTGTTCTAACAGTCCCGCTACATCTGCTGACTCGGTGACTACCGATAACGTTCCCGTCTCAATTTGGGTCAGCTCAATGAGGCTGTTCAGCTGGCTGCGCATCAGGTCTGCCTGCTGGTCAATGATGCGCAACAGCTGCCTTGACTCATTTGTGTTCAGGGGCTCGACTATGGTTTTAAGAGCGGCAGCAGAACCCTTGATGGTTGTCACAGGCGTTCTCAACTCTTCGCTAACCACCCCCAGGAATTCACCCCTCTGTCGTTCCAGGTCTTCCAGGGGGGTCATGTCTTGCATAACGGACATCACCGACACTATTTCCCCTGATTCAGAGAAGAGGGGAGCGCAATTTACCAAGGCGGTTATGGTATTCCCGCTCGGTAGATGGACGACGATTTCTTCGGCCCTCACAGTCTCTCCAGTCTGAAGCGCCCTAGTGCCAGGAAGGTCTCCGAAGGCGATTTCTCTCCCGTCAGATCTCGTAAGTGTCACGGAGTCATAGACGTTCTCAAATTCATCGTCCGTAATCCCAAATGCACCCATGATTCGTTGGTGTTCCTGATTCATGTAAGTTATCTCGCCTATCCGGGCGTCGAAGACGGAAACCGCTACGGGAGAGATGTCCATCAGGGTTTCCAGTTCCACCTTTGCCCGGTGCTCCGCTTCATATCTTCGGGAGTTGCGGATTACCGATGCAGCCTGGGCGGCAAACATCGCCGCGATGTCTTCATCTTCCCGTGTAAACTCCTGTCCTCCCTCCTTCTCCATGAGGTATAGGTTGCCGACATGTTCGCTGCGATGACAGATCGGCATTCCCAGAAAAGTCTTCATGGGCGGGTGGTCCTCTGGGAGACCCACGAAAACAGGGTGGGTTGCCATGTCCTCAAGCCTGATCGGACCTTTGGTCCTGCTTATATGTCCCAGAAGGCCAAGTCCCTGGGGCGATTCTGCCATGCGTTCGCGCTCTTCCTGCGAGAGGCCAAAAATGTAGAAATCGCGAACACCGCCCAAAGGCTGGAAGGTCAGGAGCGCACCGTACCGGGCGCCCGTCAGCTTTCCAGCGCTATTGATGACTTCCTGGAGAATGGATTCGGCATCCAGGTTTTCGGAGATGCTGATGCTGGCTTCGCTCAGCCTGGCTAGCCGTTCCTTCAGGGCGTCATTTTCTTTCCTGAGCACTTCTGCTTCGGTGATTGCGGCATTCGCTTGTAAAAGGCTCATTGTCTTCCTCGCCAATTTTTGAGGGTGGTGGAACATTCCCCCGGCTTCATCACTATTTCACGTTTCCCAGCTTAGATTGGCTGCCTATGTCGGCCGGGCAATTTCCCAAAGCAAGGAAGCTCCAGAGCGCCCTTTGGGTCCGAACTTGCAGGGCTGTGGGTCGGTGGGTGGCTCATACTACCAATGTTAAGTGTGAGAAATAAACTGGTAACACCTATTTCCAGTAGATTTCTCACAATGTTCTCATAACTGTATTTCTCCACATTCACAAATTCTCCACAATCGCCTCCTTTGACTTCGCTACCCAGTACTACAGCCGCGAATTGCGCCGACAGAATCGGGTGTAAGCGGAGGATATAAAGTGGGCCGCGTGGGCGGAGGATTGCTGAGTATCGGCGACCTAATAGTGTACCGCCTGCCATCATTCACAGGGTTGTAGCCGACCCCATGGATGGTGCGATGGATGTACAGAGTGGACGTATATCTGCGGGTTCGCCGGGCGGTGATGGTGGAGGGCAAGAGCATTCGGGAGGTCTCCAGAGAATTCGGGCTGCACCGGGACACGGTGCGCAAGATGCTGGCCCACTCCGTGCCTCCGGGCTATCGCCCGGCAGAATCCGCCAAAGAGGCCCAAGCTGGAGCCCTACACCGGGGTCATCGACCGGATCCTCGAGGACGACCTCAGGCGTCCCAGGAAGCAGCGGCACACGGCCAAGCGCATATTCGAGCGCCTCAGGGACGAACATGGCTACGACGGCGGATACACCACGGTCAAGGACTACGTAAGAGAGCACCGTCGCCAGACCAGGGAGATGTTTGTCCCGTTGTCCCATGCGCCGGGCCACGCCCAGTGCGATTTCGGCGAGTCCCTGGTGGTCATCGGCGGCGTGGAGCGTAAGGCCCACTGCTTCGTCATCGACCTGCCCCACAGCGACGGCTGCTTCGTGAAGGCCTACCCGGCGGAGACCACCGAGGCCTTCCTGGACGGACACGTATCAGCGTTCGCCTTTCTGGGCGGAGTGCCCCAGAGCATCCTCTACGACAACACCAGGCTGGCGGTTGCCCGGATCCTGGGCGACGGCCGGCGCCAGTGCACCCGCGCCTTCACCGAGCTGCAGTCCCATTACCTGTTCGAGGACCGGTTCGGCCGTCCCGGCAAGGGCAATGACAAAGGCAAAGTGGAGGGCCTGGTGGGGTACTCGCGGCGCAACTTCCTGGTGCCGGTGCCGTCTTTCGAGAGCTTCGATGCGCTCAATGCCTACTTGGAACAACGATGCCTGGAGCGGATGGACCGCAAGCTCAGGGGCCACACTGAGACCATCGGCCAGAGGATGGAGCGGGACCTGGACGCCCTGTTGCCCCTGTCTCCGGTGGCCTATGATGCCTGCGACAAGCAGGTAGGCCGGGTGAGCTCGCTGTCGCTGGTCAGGTACAGGACCAACGACTACTCGGTGCCGGTGGCCTACGGATACCGGGACGTCCTAGTACGGGGCTACGTCGACGCAGTGGTGATCAGCTGCGGAACCGAGGTCATCGCCAGGCATCCCAGATCATACGACCGGGACGACTTCGTCTACGACCCCATCCACTACCTGCCGCTGTTGGAGCGTAAGCCGGGAGCTCTGGGCCAAGCCGCACCCCTGCAGGGATGGGAACTCCCCGATGAGTTCGGGACGCTGCGCCGGCTGCTGGAGTCCCGCATGGGACGGCGGGGCAAGCGGGAGTACGTGCAGGTGCTGAGGCTGCTGGAGACCTTCAATCAGCAGGAGGTGCACGCAGCGGTAAAAGATGCCCTCCACCTGGGGTCGCTGAGCTTTGACGCAGTGAAGCACCTGGTGCTGTGCCGGCTGGAGGGGCGTCCGCCAAGGCTGGACCTGGAGCTGTATCCCTACCTGCCCAGGGTCAGGGTCAGCACCACGTCCGCCGGAGACTACATGACCTTGCTGTCGGGGAGAGCGGCATGAACGACCGGTCGACGCTGCTGCTGGAACACCATCTCAAAGAGCTGAAGCTGCCCAGCTTCCTGAGAGAGTACGGTAGGATGGCAGCCCAGTGCGCCGCCGAGGGTGTGGACCATCCTCAGTACCTGCTCAGGCTGGCTGAGATGGAGCTCATCGACCGCCACCAGCGCATGGTGGAGCGGCGGATACGGGCGGCTCGATTCCCTGCCGTCAAAAGCCTGGACACCCTCGACTTCCCGGCGATACCGTCGCTGAACAAGGCCTTGGTGATGGAGCTGGCCCGCTGTGAATACCTCCAGCGCCGGGAGAATGTCATTGCCGCCGGCAACAGCGGCACCGGCAAGACCCACGTGGCCCTTGGTTTGGGGCTGGCCGCCTGCCAGCGCGGGATGTCTGTGGGTTTCACCACCGCCGCCGGTCTGGTGCATGAGATAATGGAGGCCAGGGACGAAAGGCGCCTGTTGAACTTGCAGAAACAACTGGCCCGGCTCAACCTGCTGATCGTCGACGAACTGGGCTTCGTGCCCCTGTCCCGGACCGGGGCGGAACTGCTCTTCGAGGTGTTCAGCCAGCGCTACGAGCGGGGCTCCACCATGGTGACCACCAACCTTCCCTTCGACGAGTGGACCGAGGTCTTCGGCTCGGAACGGCTCACCGGAGCGCTGCTGGACCGGCTCACCCACCACGTCCACATCCTGGAGATGAACGGCGAGAGCTACCGGCTCAAGCGCAGCCGGAGAGAACGCTTCCCCGCAGGCTTCAGACAGAACCGGACGAGGAATAGCCGCA